AAAATATTAAGAAATCGTATTAATATGCTTGTTTCTAATATTTAAAAATTATAATTAACAATTAATTAAAAAATTTAATATTCAATAAATTATTTTAAATGTTTTATAATAACTTAGACTTTTATGAATAAAAATTTGATTAAAGAGGTGTTTGTGATTGCTTATTTGAAACAACTTATACTTTTACTACAAAAGTCTTTATCAATTTATTATAAGTTAGAATTGTTTAATTTATTAAAAAAACTTCTTATTATCGGTTTGACACTGGTATAAACTGTTTATCCCAACATTAAAAAATGTTTTTTACAAATACCACACCAAAATAAATTAATAAATTATTTCCATAAACAATCTCAAATATCCGCTAACTTGATCACACATTTATATTTTTTACATTCACAAGGGAATAAATCATAATATAAAAAACAATATAATAAAAGAAATTAATAAAAAATAGCAAGGTGACGTTGGAGTCCAACTTGCCAAATTTAACGTTCCCCAGTCCGCACCCACATTGTCCAGCTAAGCCAACGAATTTTGTCCACGTAGGCGCGCCTCCACTACCCGACAAGATAACTCACCTAACTATTGTTTAACTAAAGAAAAAAAAGGTAAATTGATATTTTGAAATATTACTACAAACATTTGTTGAATGGTTTTTATAAAGTGATTAAATGGTCATAATGATTAAGAAACTCTTATAATATAATGTAAAATAGAATATAATTGTTTGGTAATTGTTTACGATGAAATTATGACGTTTATTAGTTAAGTGAGAGATATATGAAATAAAATCATTTAGAGAGTTTTAGAACCATTAAGAGACAACATTTTTTTGCCAAACAAGATCCACCTATTCACGATTCAGATGCTGCATCTTAATGAAACTATTAAAAGGTAAAACAAACAACCCCTTAATTTATTTTCTAAACTGTGGATTTTGAAACTAGTTTACATACAACGACTAATCTCTAGGTAATTACGAATGGACCGGAGTCAACAAAAGTGTATCTTTTTAGCCACAAGTGTTCTGATATCTTCGAGATTCAAATCCATGACATATAATTTTTTTTTACTATATCTCCCCAAGGCTTAATCAGTATGCTGTAACTAAAGTGGTTAATATTTATATTTAGAATTTTATCTGAGTGATATAATATTTAAATCATGTTAAACTAAGATATAAAAATGGCTACGGTTCTCGCATGCCTTTCTCGAACAATGTTTTATGTCTATTAGTTATGACTGTGAAATATTCTTATACATTATATCTTTATCAAACACTATTTATGTGAAACTTACGTAGTATATTTTATTTGTGGGGTAGATCAAAATTTTGTCTACATTATATCTGTCTCAGAAAACGATACTTATACTCTAAAAAAACTGGTTTCACAATACGTGCTTACCAAGTCATTTTCCCTTATCGGATGAACATGACAACCGAAAAAATTGAGAATCTTATCCGATAAAAGCGATAACAAAAATAAAAAGTTTACCTGATAAGTGATACTGATGACTTTTACCCTATAAATGATTACTGGATAAAAATGTTGCATATTGTACTAAAATCTTATCTAATAAATTAGTGTTTACTTGGGTAAGCGCTTACCAAGTTATATTACCTTAGTGAATGAATATGGTAAGGATAAAAAATTTTACCCGGTAAAAACGATACAAGGACTGAGAGTCTTACCCGGTAAGTGAGGAGAATGACTCTTACCACGGTCAGCTCTTACCAGATAAATTGTTGCATAGAAAACCGTTTTTGTTGACAAAAATCTTACCTGGTTAATAAATAATAATATTGAATTTTACCAATAAGTGTTTATCAGGTAAATGTCTGATATACAACTCTTAAGTAAAAATATCCACCATTACCAATATTAGATAAACGTTAAATAAACTACTAATAAGATTATTTAATTTGATTTAAACATAGCAATAATAGGATTCGCTTTAAACGCAGGGGAGAAGCACTTGTTACACAAAGGTAGGAGTACAATAAATGCCGTCAAAACCTTGGTTTGACTCGCCGCCTTGCGTCATTTGACCCACGTGCTTTTTTAGTTTTCTACTTCCAGAACAATAGTTTCCGAATACATCCATCGTGTAAGACTTGTACATCATGCATCTATAGATGTACAGTACTATGTCTTTAGTACAAATGTTTCTAGAAAAAGCCAAACATTTTTTTAATCGCTACCTCAGCATTATTTAAAAACATTATATTCGCTTATTATTTTAAATATAAATGACCCCCCTCCAAATTCCATGAATCTAGCGACAAATAAATCCAACTATTTTATTTATAAAAAAAAGGAAAAGGAAAAAAAAAACTGTTTAATTTTATTATATTTTTTAATACAAAATACAAAATTATTTTATATTATTTAAAAATAAAGTTAACTTATTTATTTATATAATTGAGAATTCTCGGACAATTAGAGCACATGATTAGCTTTTGTTTTTGTTTATGTGGTATTTGATTAGAGGTATTAGACAGTAATCAATGAGAATATAAATAAAATAAATTATTTGATTTTATATAATATAATTGGCTCAAGGTTAAACCGTATGAGGGATGAAAATTCATTTCCATTTTCATTTTTCTTACCGAACCAAACACTCACTTAGTTTTAGGTATGTAATAACATCAACTTTGAATTTGAATCTGAATACTGTCAAAGTTTGTATGGTCATGACTCATGGAAGTTCATCTGTGATGACTTCATGCTATTCGTGGTCACCTAAATGATTGGTTGGTGTACGTAAACTGACCCGAAAACGTGTGGGTACTTGGTTTTTATAAATAATATCATGTAAATATTTAATATGACGTTTTATTTCCAAATTGCTTTAAAACATCTGTTAAGATGTCSAAAACGTTGTTTTATATCGTAGTATTTTACATGTAACACACAATTGTTTGGTTATAAAAACTTAAGTACAGTAAAGAAGTCTATTAGGACACGAAACATTTTTGACGACATATAAATCCAATTTGCTGTTATGCCTCCAATGGCCCTTAGGTATCTTGAAATGGCGAGCACTAAGTTATACGGAAGGTTATAACATTTTTATTTTATGTTTTTGTTCAAACAGGTGTTGGTATTTGTTTTTTGAAATTACGATCTTAAGAATCAGAAATTAAAATTTAAAGACTTCAGTAATCATTTATGATTATATGATTCTACTGTCTTTTTTGGTTTGCAGAATTAGATTAGATTTGTAATTGAGTTCCATTCCAATCTTGATTTCAGGGGATTTCATAGAATTTTTATGTAATTTATACTATATTATAAAACATTTGACAAAAACTCATTTTTTATGTATAAAATACTGTTTATTGATGTATATTACTTAAAATTCAAGATCAGAAGTAAATTTTATATTTTTTTTAATTTTTATTTCTCCTTTTTAGTGATTTTTGGAGAATTTATGTAGAAAACACTCAGGGGTTGTTTGTTTATATCTTAATAGTTCCATTAAAAGACAACATCTAAATCGTTAATGGGTGAATCTTGTTTGTCAAAAAGAATATGTCTCTTAATGGTTCTAAAACCCTCTGAATGATTTTGTATCCTGATCCTTCTTTAACCATTAATCGCTCTTATTTCATTATAAACAATTACTAAACAATTATATTTCATTTTGTACTATATCATAAAAACCTTTTAATCATTATGAGCATTTAATCATTTTGGAACAAACCATTCAGCTACTGCTAAATAGCCCCTCAAACTATAAGCGTTATTAATTATTAAATTAATTTTTCATTAAATTTTTTGAAGAATATTTCTTAAATAAGTAGTTTAAAAAATAGTTAAATACCCGATTATTTTATTTAATAATATTTTGTTCTTGTAGATAAAGAATTTCCAAGGGGTATAAAAAGGCAGCAGGACTCTGTTTTCTTCGGTCCATCACAAAATCACAGCCATGGCGGAATTTTCTTCCATTCAAGATTATCATCCCACCGGCGACTACTCGTCAGAATCTTCCTACTCTTGGGATGAGCTTCTTTTCCACCACCATTCACTTCCCTTCAATCTTAACGATTCCCAAGATATGCTTCTCTTCGATATGCTCGCCACTAATGGCGTCGCATCCATGGCCGCCGATCAGTCGTCGGAATCCAACATATCCACCGCCGGCGTCATCAAGGAAGAGGAAGTCACTTCAGGATCCCCACCGGAAAAATCCCAGAAAGAAAAGTCTTACAGAGGGGTGAGACGGCGGCCGTGGGGGAAGTATGCCGCGGAGATACGGGATTCCACCCGACACGGTGTTAGGGTTTGGTTGGGTACGTTTGATAGTGCGGAGGCAGCCGCCATGGCGTATGATCAAGCGGCATTCTCGATGAGAGGATCGGGGGCGGTTTTGAATTTTCCGGCAGAGAGAGTGAAGGAGTCACTACAGGAAATGAATTACAGGTTCGAAGAAGGGTGTTCGCCGGTGGTGGCGCTCAAGAAACGCCACTCCCTGAGAAAAAAACCGGTGAGCCGGAAAAAGAAACAAGTTAGTGGTGGTGGTGGTACAAACTTAGAAAACAACATGTTGGTGTTTGAGGATTTGGGGGCAGATTATCTTGAACAACTTTTAACTTCTTCCGAAAGTAGTTCGACGATTTCTTGGTAAATTCGACCCGACAGTATCCGGTATTCGATATCTGGTATCTGTTCAAGTGGTTGAGACGTTTTCAAGATAATGCAGAAGCATCAGGCCTAAAATATCGAAGCTTTGAACCGTTTGGTCAAAGTTTCTTATTCAAAATACGATTTTTCGAGTCTTTCAAGAAAATTCTTGGTGGAACGAGATACCCACATCCATATGCTTCCGTCTCTTTCGTGTTTTGTACGATATAATCACTACTGTATCTTTAACTCTCTGTAAATCCCAAGTTTTGTTTCTTTTTTTAAAATATACAATAGTTTCGTTATGTCAACTTCAGTTCACTTCATGCATCTTACATCTTACAGAACGATTAAACAAGACGGTGTAAGACACGCCATAAAAGAGCCTAAAAACGGTTGTTGCCATGTTCGGTGACATATTTGGTAATGTTTAAATCAAAAGGGTATGCCCGAGAATTGAAGAACAAGATCGTTCTATATTGAAATCCCAAAAAAATATTTAATTTACATCAAATCTGATATCATCGATGAATTATACCAGATGTTTTTATGTCTTTTTAAAATCATATTATAAAGTCGTGATGACGTTATCCCAAACTTATGTGGCGTAATGTTATAACTTTACATCGTTAGAAATTTTGTCATTTTAAACGTGTTATCAGTTGATCTGTTTAAATACGATAATTTGTATTTTTATTAAATTAAAATGGAATAAAACAAAAAGGAAAATCATACCTACTTGTGGTTCAATCTATGACTTGCAAGAATCCTAGGACACACATGTTTTGGGTTGGTTGTGAATTTACCAAATTACCCCTGGTTTTGTTGTAATGAATGTGTGTAGAAGGACAATTTATTAAAACTTGAGAAAGGTGAAGATTGTAATTTCATCTTGGGTGTTTGGCCTTTTGAATAATTCCACTTTCATAAATTAAAAGCATATGTCCCCAAAAGCTTAACTAGATTTTGGGAAAAAAGGGAAATATATATTTTTAAAATTTAATAAAAAATTTTGATTTAAAAAATAATTTATTTTTAATAAAACAAAAAACATATTAAAAGCACAATTTTTTTTCCTTTTGTGTAGATATTTTTCAAAATAATTGGATGAAATTATTGTTAATAAACAACAGCGATGTTTTAACTTAACAGTTTCGAAACGAAATGTTATTACAGTGTTTTTTTAGATTTTGACAGATAAAATATCTGGTGACTCAAAAAACCGTTTCAACAATCTCTCTAAGATACAAATCCGTTCCTTCTTTTTCTTTAAATTCTATATGATATCTTGATTACTGTATAATAACTGATAAGAAAACATTAACGATAATTACTATCTAATAAATAATATCGTATTAATTATTATTGTTATATAAAATAATAAAAATAGAGAGTGGTATTATAATAAATATTAATTTATTTTTAATTTAATTATATAATAAGAGAAGGTTTATCAACACATGTCAAATTAAGTGTTCATTGAATGTGCTCTGTCTTTTTATATGGATGAGGGTAAATCAATAATTATAATCCCTTTATGCAATTGCAAGTTGATATTATTTTATAAGTGGGCCTATCCAATTAGCCCATTGGGCCTTTTTAAATTATTTTTTATTTTTTAATAATAAAATAAGTCGGGTTCGGTTCCTATTTTGTGTAACGATTTTTTCTTTTAGTTAATGGAAATTTAAGTTTATATTTGTACGTATTTTTGATTGGTAAGATATGTAATCGTATAGCATTTAGTGACGTGGATACGTGTTTACATAAGATTTACAAATTGTTTATAAAAGAATTATGATGAAGGAGAGGATAAATCTGATATCGGTACTAACAGATATTACAACATAAACACGTTACCTGTTAAAATGAGTACCTAATACAGTAATTGAGAAAGTACTATTTGTGACGCTGAAATAGTAATATGGCAAACGTAAATGCCTTTTGATACGTTTTTTTTTCTAGAAAGACATGAATCTTTTGGAATTTTTATATTTCAAATTAGCCTCTAATAATTTATGCCAAACATAAAAACCAACTTCATGGTCCAAAATCCATTTTATCAGTTAAATTTGAAAATATAGTAATAGAAATAAATGTCTTATAAAAACAAATGTCCTACAAAAAATTTGAGAAAAGGGTATTAGAAAATCCCCAAACTCTGATATTATTATTATTATTATTATACTTTTTTCAAAAATAATTACTATTATCTATATCTATACTATATTATAAAGCATTTGATATAAACTTTTAAAAACCATTTTTATATACAAAGTAGTGTTTGTTGAAGCATATTACTTAAAATTCAAGATCACGAGTAAATTGTGGGTAAATGCAATTTATTAAAGCTTCATTTTTGAATTTGTGTAATTAACTATAGATAAACATAATCATATAGTGGATATACATCTCATTTTAAATATAAAAAATCTAAAATATAATTAAGATAATTATTAGTTATAACAAAATACTTAATTGTTATATTTATAAAAATTATATTATTAAATAATAAATTAATTCGTTATTGAATCTAAATTAAATTATAAATAAAATATTGAATTGAAGAAAAATTACACAAAAAATGAGAACTTTAAATAGTAAATTTGATACTAATATCGATATATATTTTTCTAAATTTTATGATATATTTAAATTTATATTTTATTCAAAAATAAAAGTATTATCGCTTTTTCAAAACCACTAAAAAACGTATTATATCAACATAAATAAATAATAAAACGAAACATTAAAATTGAGATAAATCTCGCTATATTATGCGAGCACTCTTCTAGTATATTTTAAATCATTTGACAAAAACTCTTAAAAATTATTTTTTATGCATGATGTATTGTTTATTGATACATATTACTTAAAATGCAAGATTACAAGTAAATTGTGCGTATATACAACTTACTAAAACTTTATGTTTAAATTCGTGTAACTAACTGTAGATAAACATAATCAAATAAGGGATAAACATCTCATTTTAAATATAAAAAATTTAAAATATAATTAGGAAAATCATTGATTTCTTACAAAATACTTAATTATTATTTTTATAAAAAATTATATTATTAAAACAAAAATAAAAAATATAGAAAAAAAAGAAATTTTAAATAGTTAGGTACTTAGATTGGTACCAATATCAATATATTTTTTCAATTTTTAATGCTATATCTTCATATTTATATTATATTCAAAAATAAAAACATTATCGTTTTCTCAAAAACACGTAAAAACGTATTCTAACATCGACTGAGAAAAAAAAAACGAAATATTAAATCAAAATGTATCTCGCTGCATTGTGTTAGTATCCTTCTAGTTATATTATAAAACATTTAACAAAAAATTTTAAAAACCATTTTTTATGCACGTAATACTGTTTATTGATGCATATTACTTAAAATTCAAGATTACAAGTAAATTGTGCATAAGTACAACTTATTAAAGCTCTATGTTTGAATTTGTGTAACTAACTGCAGATAAACATAATCAAATACATGATAAACATCTCATTTTAAATATAAAAAATATAAAATATAATCAGAATAATTATCGAGTTCTAATAAAATACTTAATTATCATGTTTTATAAAAAAATATATTATATTAAACAAAAAAAAAAAATTACACAAAAAAGGAGAAATTTTAATTAGTTTGATTCTAATATCAATATATACTTTATAAGTTTTTATGATATTTTCATATTTATATTTTATTTAAAAATAAAAACATTATCTTTTTCTCAAAACGACATATAATCGTATTATAACATCGACGGAGACGGAAAAAAAATAATAAAACGAAACATTAAAATCGAGATGTATCTCGCTGCATTACACGAGTACCATTCTAGTTATACAAAACATAGAAGTCGTAAACCACAAGGGTGGTGTCTGATTGGTTTGCTTGACTCCAAAGGTCAAAAGTAACAGGAAGTCGTTCAAATCCAAGGAGAAATAAAAATCCCCTTGTGGCCACGATGACTCCGGGTTATCTGCAAAACAGGTGGTTAAGGCTAACGGAGGTTCTTGGATCAAATCGTTGTTTAATCACTCTGCGGTTGAGGTCGAGGTAAGTGGGGAGTCTGTGCCGTAAGGGTGCGTTTGGTATGTGGAACAGGACAGAACATGACACACTTGTCCCATGTTTGGTGTGTTTCTAAGTGGAACTAAGTGGAATAAGAATGGGACACGCGAGTTCTGCCTAATACCCTGGAACTAAGTGGAACTCAAAGTTATTTCCCTCATTACCCTTTTCCCCTTTACCCGGTTTCTTCACAAAACCTAACACAGCCTCCATCGCTCCTCCTCCATCGCTTCMTCATCGACCGCGACCAGGACCATCGACGGCGACCACGTCTGCGAGTTTCGATCGATGTTCATCTCTTCAAATCTGTTCCAATCGACAGTACGTTTCTCTCCTCTCCATATCCAATCGAGGTTTTTCTCCTCTCCATATCCAATCTGTTCAACATTTTAGCACTTTGCGTTTGAAATTTTTGTTATAAGCTTACGATGGTCAAAAAATAAGGAACCATATGGGTGTTTGCAGAAAAAATGATCAAGCAACCCATACCTAGGGTGGTTTCTTTGATTTACTTTTGGTATTTTGGTAGGTTGAAGTTGATGCATTTCTGTTTGCATTTCTGTTTGCATTTCTGTGACATATGTGGTCAAGTTGATGCATTTCTGTTGATATATGTGGTCTGGTTTTGAGGATTTATAATCATCATAAGACCCTGTAAGCTGCATTATCATGTCAAGAACATAATATACATCCAACCAAGGGTTAGTAGATGACAACAAATGTAAATATCTCAAAGCTTGGTGTGATTCCAATTCCAGTTGKAACATGGTCTGCTGCTGCAACATGCTTCTCTTCTCAAGAACAATAATTCTGTAATTACTTTACTATCCTAGATGCTTCAATGATCTCATCTTGTATTTGGTAGGTTTCTTTGATTTACAATGGATGCCATGTTCTAAATCCCTGGGAGTAAATTGGTCATTTTAACCTGTCCTGTCATGTCTTACCAAACGCTGAACAGCTGTCCTATCCTGTCCTGTCCGCGCACCAAACGCACCCTAAATAACTATTTGCGAGATACAGATTTTTTTGGGCAAGATTTTCGGGATAAAGATTGTAAATTTGATTTGGGTTTTTAGAAATCTTAATTTATCTTGAAAATAATCATTATCTAACTTGGATTTTACGGGTTCATTTATTAGTTGATCACTTTGAAGAAATCAAGATCAGATGATCGACAAATCTACTTCAAAGATGGCATCCGGAAATCTACAAGTTCTTGCTGCACTCGATGGCGCAAAAACCCAATGGTATCACCTCACGGCGGGCGTCATCTCCGGAATGGGTTTTTTCACCGATGCTTACGATCTCTTTTGCATCTATTTGGTCACCAAGATGCTCGGCCGGATTTACTTTCACAAACCCGGCTCATTGAAGCCGGGAAGTTTACCTCCCAATGTTTCCTTAGCCGTCAACGGTGTTGCTCTCGTCGGAACCCTGGCCGGCCAACTGTTTTTTGGGTGGCTCGGCGATAAACTGGGGAGGAAGAAGGGGTACGGAATTACACTCATGTTAATGTGTCTTTGCTCTATTGCTTCTGGTTTGTCGTTTGGGAGAAACCCTAAATTGGTGATGGCTACTCTTTGCTTTTTCCGGTTCTGGTTAGGGTTCGGGATCGGTGATGATTACCCATCATCCGCTACGATCATGTCGGAGTATTCGAATAAGAAAACGAGGAGGGTTTACCGCGGCGGTGTTTGCGATGCAAGGTTTTGGGATTTTAGCCGGTGGGATGTTTGCGATCATCATGTCGTCCGTGTTTGATGCGCGGTTTAAAGCGCCGTCGTATGAGGTGGATCCAATAAGGTCGACGGTTCCGGAGGCGGATTACGTGTGGAGGATAATTCTGATGGTTGGTGCACTTCCGGCATTGCTAACATACTACTGGAGGATGAAGATGCCGGAAACTGCCCGTTACACCGCCTTGGTGGCTAAACAAGCTAATCAGGCTGCAATGGACATGTCTAAGGTCTTGCAAAATGGAGATCCCGACTGAGCAACAGAAGGTGGTTCCGGTGGCAGGGAAATCCGATAAAGATTTCGGGCTTTTCAGCAAGAAATTCCTCCGGCGACACGGGATACATTTGTTGGGAACTACTAGTACTTGGTTCTTACTCGATATCTCGTTTTACAGCCAAAATTTGTTCYAGAAACACATCTTCTCAGCCATCGGGTGGATCCCGGCCGCGAAGAAGATGAACGCGATTCACGAAGTTTACAGAATTGCTAGAGCCCAAACCCTAATCGCACTTTGCAGTACCGTTCCGGGATACTGGTTCACCGTGTTTCTCATCGATAAGATCGGACATTTCGCAATTCAACTACTCGGATTCTCAATGATGACGATCTTTATGTTTGGATTAGCCTTCCCTTACAACCACTGGACACACCCCGAAAACAACATCAAATTCGTAGTGATGTACTCGTTAACATTATTTTTCGCCAATTTCGGGCCTAACGCCACCACATTCGTGGTCCCGGCSGAGATTTTTCCCGCGAGGTGGAGATCAACTTGCCATGAGATCTCCGCCGCATCGGGCAAACTTGGCGCAATACTGGGTGCTTTCGGTTTCTTGTATTTGGCTCATAATCAAGATCCAGCTAAGGCGGACACCGGATATCCTACCGGAATCGGAGTGAAGAACGCGTTGATCGTGTTGGGCGTGATCAACCTTTTGGGAACTTTGTGTACGTTGATGGTGTCGGAGTCGAAAGGCAAGTCGTTGGAGGAGATGTCCGGCGAGAACGAGGATAAGACCAACGATCCACAACCTTAATTCGAGCCCTAATTTTCGATTGATTAAAATTAGTTGATTATTAGGATCAAGATTTGAGTGTTTATAGTCTTAATTGATGCTACATGTTTTATGTTATGAATTTTGATCCATTATTCCATTTTAGGGTTTTGTTTTTTTGGTAAAGATTGTTGTTTAAGAGTTACAAACGATTATCGGGTAAATGCTTATCGGTAAAAGTTATTGTATTTATTTTATTGAATTACATTCTTAACCATTAAAATGAGTTCTTAGTAAGCGTTTTTATCTGATAAGAGTTAACTTGATAAAAGATTTCTTGAATTACGGGGTAAAATATAAGGGTTTTTTTCTATTCCTCTTATCGGATAAGATTGTTGGTCATTGTCATATTTAATCGGTAAGGTAACAGACACCCTTAGTAAGCATTTGGTAAACGAAATGATAACTTCGGTTTCTTTCTCATCGATTTTGAAGATAAGGGAGAGCGGTATGGAGTCCTCTTACGTTGCAATTCCAAGATCTTTTGACAGAACAATGTGTTTTGAAGAAAATGAATATTGTGAGCTTCCGAATTCAACAAAAAATTATATACGATAAGTACTTACATATACGACTCAAATTTGATAATTGGTGGAGTTAGAACCATTGCATTCCTTATAAAATGGTTTTTGCTTGCAACCCAGATGCTGTTGCAGAAACTGCTTTTAAACATGCATAACTTTTGCTCCAAGACTTCATTTCAAGCCTACGTCATTCAAAGTTTGAATTTGTTTTGATTTTATTTTCAATAACAAAATCGATTTTATAGAACGTCTAAAACATTAAAATGTCTCGAAAAAATAACAAAATTAATTTTATAAAACACTTTATATAATTGTTAAAAAAGTATCGAGTCGTGTTTCCGTACCCCATTCAATCAATGCTGAGTTCATTCTTATCAAGATGATGATCATCATGCAGATACAAACACAGTTGTATCTGTGGCCATGCACACTCACCTGTACATACATATTAGTACTWGCTTTTGCTTACATGTGTTCTTCTTTTCATGCCATAGCCTCTTACATGGCACTCTCTCCTTCACCTTCTTCCACTATAAAACCCCACCTCACAATCTCCATTCGCCACACCATCTCATCATCTTTTCCA